TCTCTCTCTCTTTCTCTCTCTCTCTTTCGTCTATTTAATTCATAATATCTAAATAATTTTCTCACTACAGGTGGACAATATCTGTGTTTACGGAGACTCAATGCACATGCATTTGGTAGCACTGGTCGTACCGAATGGCAAAACGAGTCTAAAGTTGGCTCAAGAGTTGGGCGTCAGTATCACAGCGACGGGCGATAAAGTGCGGCCCGAGTTGTGCAACAATAACCAAGTGGTGGCCGCAGTCCTCAAAGAGCTGACCCGTTTCGGGCTCGAGTCGGGTCTGAATAAGAGCGAAATCCCGACCAAAATCAAACTGGTGTCCGAAGAGTGGTCGCCAAACAACGGCTTAATTACGGCCGCATTGAAACTGAAGCGCAAAAATATACAAAACTTTTACCAAAAGGACATCGATTTTATGTACGGAAAGACTGCACTCAATAATAATGTTAATAATAATAATAATTAGTTAATAATTTTTTTATAATTATCTATTTTTGATGTATTTATGTTTTACTAAATACTCGATAGTTTCCGGGATAGCAAAGCAATACAATTGTATTTTATTATGATTTTAATTGACTTATAACATTAATATGAATTTGTTTGTCACTTTTTTTTTGGTGAAATCATAATTTTTAAAATCAATATTTTTTTATAAAATTCATTGCATTTATTGTACAAATTTTTATTATAGTTTAAAAATTTAAATACTATCTCATAATGTATTCATTCAATTCATACATACATTTCTATTACCAATGAAAATTATTTGTTATTTTACAACAAATAATACAATTTAATAATAATTTTGGTTTTTTGATATTAAAATTTTGTTAGAAACTCAATGAACTGTCTGATATTTTTATTGATTATTTGATTATAAGTTATAAATTGGCAGTTAAATCATAATTTGTAACTATATTTTTACAAAAATTCACATGAAATGTAATGATAATAAAATAAGAGAATGACTTAATCTTTGGAAAATGTTGATAATTTTGTTTTGACTAAATGTTTACCATGTTTACAAAATAATATTGGTTAAATACCCACCGAAGCTTCATGTCTATAATTTTGTTTATGCATTAACTGAATAAATATATTATAATTATTATTCAGAAGTATCATTTGTTTTGTCGAGTACTTTAATACTTTATAACTTGTACTATAATTCACTAAAATTATATTGCTAATTATGTTTTGTTATACACAAGGGCAAATTATTTAATTAAATTAATTAATTATAATTAATATAATTTAGATTTAATAATACATCAAATGAATTAAATTCTGTTAAATAAATCACATTCTTATTTTTAATTTATTAATTAAGTGGAATTTCCATTATTTCTGTTGTTCTTTCAAACGCTAAATCAAATGAAAAATAAAATAACAAAACATTTTAAAATACATTAAAAATAGCAAACCTGAGCTCTCAATTGTTCTGAATACTCGTCTCCTTTGGCCAGATATAGATTGCCGGCAAAGGGTTGACCCAAATTGTATTTGAAGGCAAATTGTCTGATATTAAACTTGATTCGTCCCACTCGGGAACCGCTGGCAATCGGTGTTTCCGTGTGTTTCAAATGACCCGATTGTTTGTACACAAGAAATATATACCGATTCAACGAAGTCTTGGGTGGTCTCGAACCCCCATACGGGACCAAAATCTCCCCTTTGGACACGTCATTGCCTAATATGTTAACAACAAGCCAATGCTTAACCTGTGCAAACTCACCGGCGTCGGGATCAACCATTGCCAGTGTATAGTATTCGCCCTCTTCTGTGGGCCACTGGACTGTGGGCTCGTCTTTGACAGACAGTGGCGTCAATTCATTGCCCAGATTTACGTCAACACCACTCGGATAGTGAATCTGTTAATTGAATTATATTTACTTTATTAAATATTTGTTTGGTTAAGTTAGCTAAATAAAAATAAATACCTTGATTATATTATTGGGAACTGTGTCCACAACGTCTGGTATTATTTTCTCCATTTAATTATACGTTAATCGTTGAAAGTAAGTGAGATCTTAATTGAAATGTGTTTTGCGAGTAAATGTTTTTTCATTGTTTAATGACTTGTATTTATAGTTACTTTTTCAGTACATCACACGTAACTGTATATAAAATTGAACACCACTGTTGTTTATCTAATCAATAGACTTACGTATAATTTATAATGTCAATTAAAATTGAATCAATTATTTTCATGAAAAAGTTTTGTATAAATAATGTATAAATAACCTAGATCATTATTACGTTTATAGTTTTATCCTTGTGTATCCGAAATTCCAATAACATTTTAACTTAATAGGAAAATAATAAAAATAAATGTTTTTAATTAATTTATTGAAATTATTTTTACAAATATAAATTATATAAATTAAACTAATATTCAGTACACTGTATTTAAAATTACGTTTTTGTGTCGGTTATTATCCAATAGAAAAAGTATTATAAACGATAGTGTCCTAGGTGCAAACTATTTTTCAGTGCAATTTAAGTGTACAATACCTTGAAAAGTCCTGATTGTATTAACACTACTGTTTGCTATAAATTCAATGATTACAGAAATAATTTTTTAAAAATGCCATTTATTTCTTAATTCTTAAATTTATTCATTATTATTAAATATCAAATTATTAAATATATATTTATGTTAGTAATTAACTCCCATTGAAAGTATTACTTTACTATACTTTTAGTCAATTTCTAAATAAGTGACCAATTATTGAATTCATTGAAGTGTGAGTTTTATATAAAAGCTTTTACAATTAAGATACTAGAAAAAATATTTATACATTGTTTTAATGTATTATATATTTTACTCTACTATTTACTTATATTGAGAGTAGTTTTAAATTAATTTTATTAAATCTAAACTAAAATATGATTTATAAATTATTATGCAATTTTGTATTATTTATGACAGGAATTGTTTTCATAAGAGTGGCAATTGGCGAACAAATCAAAGATCAATCAATAAATAGATATAAAAGAATGTCTCCCTTAAGACGCGATGGTATTGTTCCCGATGTCATCGATTCGGTGCCAAAGGATACGATTACGGTATGAATTGATTGTAAAATTTCAAACATTTCATTTAATAATTGACATTAAAATTAGGTGAAGTACTCGTCTGGAGTTGAGGTAAATCTCGGCAATGAATTAACACCGACTCAAGTGAAGAACAGGCCAGCGGTGAGCTGGACGGCGGACACCGGTAGCCTCTATACGCTAATAATGGTAGACCCGGACGCGCCCAGTCGTCAGGACCGGGCGTACGGCGATGTAAAACATTGGTTAGTGATTAACATACCGGGCGATGACGTTAGCAATGGGCACACTTTGGCTGAATTTGTCGCTTCCGGTCCACCGAAAGACTCGGGTCTTCACAGATATATATTTCTAGTGTATAAACAGTCGGATGTGATTCACACCGACGAGAAGACTGTGTCCGAGCGTTCAATCGATGGCAGAATGATGTGGAAT